CCGGAAAACCTTTTACTTATTATTAACTTTATAATTAATAAAAAATATATATATACTTACTATTTTGAAAATGACTACACCTGTTTTAAGGTATTACTCCAAATTTTCTTTAAATACAAATGAAAAATTGTAATTAATATAATATTGTTACCTCATCATTTTGTATCTTAAACTGCTTTTAAAGGAACCCAACAAGTATATATATATATATATATATATATATATATATATATATATATATTATTTACATTATTGAGACTGTTATCTTCATCTTCATTGCCATATTCACAACGTTTCGTCCTTCTTCTTGGAATTTCGAACCGAACCCTTTATTTAATCTATTATAAAGAAAATAACGCGTTTGGTAAAAAAAAAGTGCTTATTTTCATTTGTAACGTATGTAAATGTAGGTAGAAAAAATCAAATGTTGATAAATAGCAAGGATCGCAAAGCCCTGCCGGGAGACCCAGTGATTGTTGCGTCGTGGGTAGCGGGGGTCGGGGGAATTATGGGGAGTACATGCCTGTTAAGAAGCTTGCAAAACTTGGGTTTCTGCTAAGGACCGTTCATTCTTTTTTTATGGTGACTGTAGTGAAACAAAGTTCCCAATATTTCTTGGATATGTCCATTTTTTTTTATTTTTTTTTTTTAGAAATATGTTAGGGTAAATATGGATACGAATGGTTAAAATGGTTGAGCTCGAGTCAGCTTTGTGCTGAGTTGGAACGACCAAATTAGGGCTGACAAAACACGTTCGAACGCTACCGTTGAAAAATGGGAAAAGATTAAGTCATAAGTGGACCGAGAAAACTGACATTTCTAATGGGAACGTAATTACCACGTAGTACTAATTCTAGAAAAATGCTTGTCATTTCATAGACTTAACCAAGTGGGAGGACGAAACCAAGTGGGGGGATAATCATACTTCCGGTTCCTTTACTCTTAGCATCATGGGAAAATGTATTTCTTTTTCTTTCTTTTTTGTTTTATTTTGCTATTCATTAATATTATTATATTTGTCGATTTTATTTCATTTTCCACCATGAAACACAATGACTTCTCATAGACACAACCTTATTAAGCCACAAAAATACAACTGTAATTTTTTTAAAAGGATTTTTTATCTGATATTATTTTATATTATTATAAACGTTATTTTTAGTGGAAACACGTAAAAAAAATCCTTTAAAATAATTACTGTTGTTTATATTTCAGGTATGAAACAAATCAGTCAATCAATCTTCGTTTCTAACAAAATTTTCCTGTTTCTTAATACTTTGCTTAGCTTTTGAAAGGCATTTTCAATATTCCAATGCACCTTATGATTTTGGTATCAGATTTTATATATTTAAATGATTTCTTCTTTTATTTTCTCGCCGCAGACTCAAAAGCAGTCAAGGTATGGAGCTTATTTAAGTTTTAAAAAATTTGTGTAGTACTTTTCATTGTTTCTTTGGTAACATTACGATATTTATCAGGTCATCCGAAAAGTTCTGTCCGAATTTTAACTTTAAAATGAACGAAATTTAAAAAGTATTTCATAATGTCTAATGGAGCTGAACATTATTTTTATGTTTAGGTGCATTTAAACTGATCAAATTTTATTTCAGAGAACAATAAAATTAAATTTTGTTTGATTAAAACCCTGCTAACATGGAAGTACCCAAGAATCATTTGAGGCACATAATGCTTTATGAGTTCAAGAAAGGAAACTCAGCAGCCGAAGCGGCTAGAAACATTCACTCGGTTTATGGAGAGGAATGTGTGAATGAAAGAACTTGCAGAAGATGGTTTGCAAAATTCAGAGGTGTAGATTTCACCCTTGAAGCTGAAGATCGAAGCGGACGTCCAGTTGAGTTTGATGAAAAGCTTCTTGAAGCAGCCCTTGAAGAAAATCCTGCTTTATCAGTTGAGTAATTGGCAGTGGTTCTCAGTTCAAAGCATACAACTGTTCATCATCTTCAACAATTTGAAAAAGTTCCTAAACTTGTAAAATGGGTGCCTCATAAATTGTCTGAAAACAACCTCAAACCCCGAGTTGACATCTGCTCTTCTCTCCATTCTCGACAACTTGTTTCACCTTTTTTGGATAGACTTGTGACTAGCGACGAAAAATGGATCTTTTATCGAAATGTTAAGCGTCGTAGACAGTGGCTTAGTAAAGGGGATGGACCCCAGCCACAGCCGAAAAGGGAACTTCATGGGCAAAAGGTTCTTCTTTCAATCTGGTGGGATCGCCAAGGAATAATCCACTTTGAATTCTTACCACCTAATGCAACAATTAATGCTCAAATATACTGTCAGCAATTAGAGCGTTTGAACCAAACTTTGAGGAAAAAAGACCTGCTCTAGTGAATCGAAAAGGGGTGATGTTTCATCAGGACAATGCGCGACCCCACACAGCAAGACTCACGTCACAAAAGATCGAAGAATTTGGTTGGGAGAAAATTCCTCATCCACCTAATTCTCCTGATCTTGCTCCTTTAGACTACCATTTGTTTCGTAGCTTACAGAATCATTTGGAAGAAACAGCTTTTGTAACACAGGAAGAAGTTAAAACTGACATTTGTGAGTTCTTCGAATCAAAGCCAAAAGAATTTTACAGTAATGGAATTACTAAGCTTGTTAATAGATGGAAGGAAGTCATAGATAATCAGAGAAAATACATTGTTGATTGAATCTGTAATTAAATGTAACATTTGGTCACTTGTTTCAAAATTCGGACAGAACTTATGGGGTGACCTGATATCTGTCCTGGGTATGACGATAAACTACATCAGGCAACAAGGTCTCTGATCGATAGATTGGATGTTTTGAGGAGTGTGGAACCACTTCTTAATTGCTGTTGTTTCCAGGTGACACGGGGGGGTGGTAGCACCTGTTTGGATCACTGCGATGGGTAAATAGTGAATACCCAGATAAAAATTAACAATACATTTGTGGGGTTCAGCGTACCCGGATTAAAGGAGAATTTAATACGGGATACCCTGCCCACAAAATACAACGCAAATCTCAAGAAGAAACAACACGATAAGGAACGTTTATAAAAAATAGAACATTGTATATTTATTATGTTGTGAATAGGGTAAAAAAGATTAATGTTTTAGTTCGTTTAAGCAAGAATGTGATTTTGATAAAAATGTCTGTGTTCGTTGTCTTTTAACAGAGTAGCAGAATAATGTCTGTTTCTTTTGTTTTTGTATAGTTGTAAAATGAAAAAGGGGCGAGCAATTTAAGTTGAAAAAGAGAGTGTGAATGAGGAATAAAGATAAAAGGAAAATGTACTTATGAATTGTTTTGGAGTCAGTTGTAAATTTGTTGCTGTTGTTGTTGTTGTTGTTGTTGTCCTTTCCTAATCCACTTTCGGGTTGAGTCAGTGATGGAATTTACTGTCAATCTTCTGTGATCTTTTGCGCCCTTCTCTGACTGACTGACTGGCGACTGACTTGAAAACTGTATTTATTGTTGACTTTTTTTTCACACTGGCTCGTTAACTTTTTTTTTTTTTTTGGTTTAGCAAATCGCCTCCTTTCATTGGTCAGAAAATTAATTTCACACCTTATTGTGAAATCTGTTTTTGGTCGTTTTGATCCGATTTTGCGGGTGTGCAAATCTACTTTGTGTTTTTTTAGTCATTTGTTGGAATATAGGATTTGTATCCTATACATTTTTAGAGTAAAATTAACGAGAATATTTTTTAAATTACCAACAATACAATTAAAAAAGTTGTCAACAATACACTTTAAAAAAATTTTAAAATTACCAACACTACATATTATCATCTAAAAATTATATATCTATAAAAAAAAAAATTAAAAAAAAACATACGTTTACCATAAAAGTATAAAATAATTTACAAAATATCTGTATACACTATTTATATTGTTTGGCCTGTTGTCATCTTTATTATCATATTCACAACATTTCGGCCGTTGTACGCTCTAGCCTTCTTCAGGTGATATTTGTTTGGATTTTGAAATGAACCAGAATAGTCTGTATGTTGGCGTTTCTGAAGATTGGTTCAATGATTTTTGTTTAGACGTTCTCCCCAGGTTTATTTCCTGAAATGGGCTGACATATAACATTCACATTCTTGGGTTTGCTCAGTAAAGTCACTGAGAATCTGTTACATTTCCTCCTCCACCAACTGCTTGCAAATAACACGACTGGGATTTGGAAAGGTCAAGTCCTTTTACGACATTTGTTGTCTTGCCTTTCACAGAGGAGAATTACAATTCCAATACAAAAGCCGACATCTTTATTTTGTTCGTTTGTGAGTCGGTGTACAATGCTGATGCCATAGATGTTTCCAAAATTGACATAGCTGTTCTGATGTTAATTTACTACGCTTTTGAACTTTGTGGAAAAAATTGGATTTTCTTCGAATGGGGGATATCTTCTGCAGTTTTTATTCCCACTTGAGTCCAACTAATTCTTTTGCTGGCTTTAAACAGGACAACATTCAAATAAATTTCACCTGAAGAAGACGGAGAGTACAACGACTGAAACATCGTGAATATGGCAATAAAGATGATGACAACAGTCTAAGCAATGTAAGTAGTGTAGTCATGATACCTCATCTGAAAAATATAGACAAATCCTGAAGAAGTCTGGAGCGTACAACGGCCGAAACGTTGCGAATATGGCAATAAAGATGAGGACAACAATGTGAATAGTGTAAATATTTACAATACCTCATTTCAGAAATATAGATGAAATACCTGGAGTTGAAGCCATAAAATTGCATTCAAAATATTAAGATTTCAACATTAAATAACCCATAGAGGTGTTGATATGCCGCTAAACAAAATCAACCAACCAACTAATTTTGGATTTTGTCATTAATTAACATTTTTTTTATTAATTTTCATTTTGTTATTAATTTTCCAAACTCTTCCATGTTCCAATACAGATCACGCCAGCAAGCGAGATGCTTCTTGTAGAAAAATATGACTCAGACAATAAATGTTTCACATATGCTTATGAAAATCTCGGGGAAGATGAATTGCTTTTATTACGATAATGACAGTAAGTAAATAATTCTGAATTATATTATCATTTTCATATTATCATTTTCATATTATTAAGAAATATTCAGTCATATGTGCCGATAATATTTTTTTTGTTCGGATGTTGTTGTAAACACATGACTTGGCGATTAAAAATATTTTTTATTACGAAGTGTTTGTTGAGAAATATTAAAATTTAAACACTTAGATGCTTCATTATAGAGTTTCATTATTTTAATGAAACTTTTTAGGTCAAACCCCAAAACCTGGCTAGTAGGAATGGCAAGTCATCATAGGCAGAAAATAACAAAATAAGACTCAACCATTGCGTAAAACTTTAAAGGAAAACATTTATTAGACAAGGACGAAAAAGTCAAATATATTCACGGCTTGAAATCTTTAAAACAAAATTTTTAAATAAATATTTCATTCATTAATTGGTTGTAAACATGAAAGAAAACATTTGTATTTTAGCTAAATATTAGAATTTGAGCCATTTTTAAACAAATGAAACATGGTGAAACTGAATAACGTTTAACAGGTGTTGACAAATAAAATACATGTATATTTGCATGAATGAAAAACATAACCTGGTCATTTTTTCTAGGTAAAATTAGTTGTTTTTCTATAGGATTAATGTTTACTATTTATGAAATGTTGAAGGGGTTGTGTATGTTGCGTTTGTACGAGCTCGGGCTCCACACATTAAACAGACCTTGTATCACAACCTGACCTCGTGGGGGTTGAGTAAATACAAATTACTATAAAGTACAGCTGGGCCCTTTTAACCCCAGAATTCTGTGGGAGAATGTGGCTCCAATTTCGCATTTAAGAAGAAGTTTAAATGACGTGTAATTCACAATATAAGAGTGTGATTATCATTTTATCAAATTTTAATTTATATAAATATTCATAATCAGTGGCAGACGCTGGGCAATGATTAACAAGCTTATCTTACTAAATCAATTACGACTGAGTAATGACTTCGATCCCCACTGGGTGCTCCACACTTTCGGCCTTGTGCAACATGTAAGCTACACTATAATTAGTGTCAGTCTGACTTAGGTGTCAGCTTGCCTGATGGCAAGTTCACCCCGGATCGAATAGGTTCTCAAATAAAAATGCAATAAAGAAACAAAATACAGACAAGAGTTTTCGTTATAAAAAAGAATATGAGCTTTATAAAGTCATGTGCACACTGTCAGTTACCTAATATGAGAGGACATTTTCAAAGGTAAAGATCATAAAGACAAGGTTAAGAAATTCGCTGCATGAGGAGAATTTGGAATCATACATGTTGTTATCTAATGAAAAGGAATTTTTATATGAATCGGATGCAGAAGATTCGAACAATCATCTGATGAACACAAACGATTCCTATTAATATAACTCAGATCGTCCAGAGATTGTTTCTAAGGACGTTGGTAATTCGATAAGAATTTCTATTATTTAATCTATGATAACAATGATTAGCAGTGACGGGCTTTCAAGTGGGTCCACTATATCAAATAAAAAATTATCTGATAAACACAAACGATTCTTCTTAATATAGTGAATTACATGAGATGCACTATTCTTTTTTTTTATTTTATTTGTTAATGTGTGAATCGTGCAGTAAACTATTTAAAATTCAATAACATTCTGAATTTACATCTGATATCTACTGCCAGTAATATATATTCTCGATGCACAATGTAATTACTAAGAAATACACATATTTTCCACAAAAATGTTACCCTTTTTTCCATATGGATTTTTTGAAAATATTCGTTAGGAAAATTAAATGATAGCATTGTATCTGTGTGTGGGTCCCTTTGTTACTGACTAATCGACTATAGTGAGATTCGAACCTGGGTCTCACAGGCTGAATTCTAATGCTATAAACATTCGGTCACGTACAAAATAATAAGCAAAAAATATCTTATGGAGATTTTCTAAGTTTATACCATGTCGAAGCGCCCGAACAGACAAAATCTTATAAAAATTATAAATATTTGAATAATAAAAAAAGAGTATTATTTGCTGATGAAGGCCAGGATATAAGCAGAAACGTCGTGATGAACAATGATGAGGTGACTGGTCTCAAAGTGTCAATGCATAATAGTATCGTGAATTTTACATAGACAGTCAAAATATCACATGAAAATGGCACTCAGTGAGAATCGAATTTACAAGCAAAGAAAACTGAATGTGGAATGAGAAGATACAAGTTGTGCCGTGCTGGCATACTAGGAAATTCTAAAAGACCTTAGAAGTCAGATTGAATGAATTTGAGATTTGAAAATGACACAGATCGTCCAGAGATTGCTTCTAAGGATGTTGGTAATTCGATAAGAATTTCTATTATTTAATCTATGATAACAATGATTAGCAGTGGCGGGCTTTCATGTGGGTCTCCTATATTAAATGAAAATACAATAAAGAACTCAGATAACTGTTTTCGTTATAAAAAGGAATATGAACTTTATAAAGTCATGTGCATATTATCAGTTCTTCAATTCCAATGTGAGAGGACATTTCCAAAGCTAAAGATCATAAAGACAAGGTTAAGTAAGTTTCTGAGGAGAGAAAAGTATTATTTGATGAATTGGATGCAGTTATTGACAGATTCGTACAATCATCGAGCAAACACAAAAGATTGCTCTTAATATAATCGACTGCATGCAATTGTCAAAGACTTAAGTTGTTGTTGTGACCAAGTAAATGGTTAAGTAATAAGAAAAAACGGGTTTGCATATATATCGTATATTAAACAGTAGGTACACCAGAAGTGTAGTACACGACTAGTGAGAGTGTATCGAATTAACTAGCGCTCAATCTTTTTACTGTTCCCTTTTCCCCGAACCTTCTCTCCTACTAAACTTATAGTAGGCGAAAGAGTCTAATATAGACTCTTAGAGGAAGGACACTACAACAGTCGTTAACTCTGAAAGAAAAAGAAAAAAAATCATTTGACGCTTAAACTTAATTCGCATTCAAAATCGGGTCCAAGTTATACAGAGTGGAATGGATAAATTGTCATCTAAATTTAAATTGTCATATTTTCTTCCTATATGACACCTGGCAACCAATATTTTTAGATCCATCTTCCACTGTTCATAACTATTCATCATACATATGTAGCAGTTATCATACACACACGAATATTGCAGTTGCTTTTGATTTCACTGTTACAATTTCATTTTACTTTTGTAATAGTAAGAGTGAAGAAAACGATTGTCATTCATTCATATTTTAACTTCACGAGATAACAATTTCTATTATATTTTTATAGATTTTATATTCCAGTCGGTGTTAACTTTGTCTTTGTTAGGGGTCGTCTTTTGATACTGAGAAAGCGGTGGTATTGACAAACAAAAAATGAAATTGTTGAATTGGTTGAGGAAACAGGCAGACAAAAGAGTGAAATGGAATAGAAATTTTTATTCTATTAGGAAGATTTTTGTATAGAGAAAGTTTTGAAGGTAATTCCTGAAAGAAAAGGCGAACTTAAGTAATGTTCTTAATAGTCTCTGTAAAGAATAAAGAAAAAGTTGAATTTACTCTGTTGTTGAATTAGAGAGTGGGGTATATTGTCCACCAGGCATAGGCATCCTTTTTCCGATCAGTGGACGGATTTAGATATGGCTTAGCAGAAGGTGGGTCACACTATTAAAAATATTCATGGTAATCTTTCGTTGAAAGTGCTTCAGCCATTCTTACTAGAAAAAACCATAGGTGTAATTATCTGCCTTAGAAATGAGGAAAGGTTTCTTTTTTATTTTTAGGAAAAATTTCTCAATAATTAAAAAATAAAATTGCAGCCTAATCATATCACAGATGTCAGTGATTTAAGACACACTGCTATGTGTGATTTGTTTCTTATTTATTCCTTTGAAAATACAAGAAATAATTTTTAAATTAAAAATATATTTCTTCAGAGATAAAAAAAATGTTATGAACGTCCTGTTTCTAAAGCAAATGATATTTACACACATGATCTACTTTAGTGAACATCGCTATAGTTTAAAATGATGAAAACGTTACCTTCAACGGAAAGATACAAAATTCAATAAATATTGTTTATGTGTGAGAAAATGAGAGTGAACAAGAGAGGACAAAACGAAACAATATTTTAATAAACCTTATTTTCCTCATGAAATTCATTGTGCCATTCAGAAAGCCAAACGAGCCACATGCGGCTCGCAGGCCGCAGTTTGCCCATAACTTGTCTACAGCATGTGCATCTATTGCACGGAGCGCTAATTTTAGCATCCTATCCCAATAACCGCCCAAAGCAAAAGTGAGGTAGACTCTTGGAATTTACAACAGGTATACTCCCAGTTTTTCGAAATATCGATGCAAATAGATTGCTAAATAGAGTAATCAATGTAGAATTTGAAATATAGATTACAAATAAAGAATTATTGATTAGGACAATGTTGGCCAGATTGTAGTTCGCAAATTATACCAAGCTCTTTGACATTTGTTATAGTGGAACAGACCTATTCTTTAGTTAATAGACTCTCCCACCTATAATAAGTAGGAGTAGTAATAGTAACGAGGGGTAGCAGTTGCTCAGTGAGTTGGTCAGTCAGTCGATGTCGGACGACCGTTAGTCGGATATTAAAGTATCAGCGACCACGACTAGATTTCTCTGTGTCATTACCTATTATATCAAGTTCCTAACGTTTTGTACGTCGAACCTATTTTAGGACCGACTTAGTACCAATACAAGCCTCCACTGTGAAACTACAACAACATTTAATGTGTGTTTCTTGATGATATAAAAGTTGAGTACCTTTTCTCATTACACTTAATACAAAATGCAAATACAACATTTTTATAGTTAATTATCGGGCATGAACTTTGACCTCATTGGATTACCTTACTTCATACTTTATACATTTAAATTACGTGAAATCAATGTATGTACATACACTTTTCGTCGCACCAAAGTTTATTGTTATTGGTTACAGGTTGTCATAAGAAGTTGATGTGTCATGTGTTGAACAAAAGCTAAAAGTGCTGACTTAGATGAGAAAATAGACAAAGAAAACAGAGAGAACATTTTTCGTGTAGATAGAATTTCGAGGATAATTTCTGAAAGAAAATGCGAACTTAAAGAATGTTCTATAGAATTTCCGTAACGAACGTCGGAAATGTTGAACTTACTCTGTTGGTGAGTTAAAGAGTGAGTAATGTGTATAGATGAAGCCAGGGGGGTCGACAACACGTGTCACGCCAAGCAGTTTACCAATGTCACGCAGCCGAAAATGACATCACGAGGTCCGAACCAATAACTACTACAACGCAAAGAAGATATTTAACTGTTTCAATTTTAATATATACTAATGTATATATATACTATATACTTTAGTATATAAAATATATTGTACAACATGTATATTGATCTTGACTTGTATAAAAAAAATACGTATGCTACACTGAATGATTTTAAAACCCTAAGTCGGCACATAGTTAGCAAAAGGTTGCTGACCTCTGGACTAAACCATGTGTGGCTACTTCACCAAGCGCTAATTTTAGTGTCCTATCTCGATCTCGACCCGAAGTACAAGAGGGTTAACCTTTTGTGATTCATGACACACATGCTCCCAGTAATTTCTTTTCACGCGTGCCCAAAAGCTGAAAAGGGGTGATGCGTGTCCAGTTAAAAACTTTGACAATTTAAAATCTAACAGATTTGTGTAGTTTTAAAGCGAATGAAATCCATGAATTTATATTGATTTATGAGTTATTGTCCTCTTTCTTTTCAAAAGATCCAAGCTCACCAGGGAATCTTCAGATGAGACCGCCAAGTAAGACAGATATTTTATTCACAGATTCTTCTAAAATCTTTTCCTTTGTACTTTTTTTATTTTCTTTAGTTTTTATAAAGTTAAATGAATAGAAATAAATATTTCTTTTAAATAGTGTACAAATTCTAAAATGTTAGTTCCCAGTAAATGTTCGGGATTATTCTAATAGATCTTTGTGTTTTACCTTGTCAAATACTTTGATGTAATCTCTGAAACATAGGTATACATCGTTCTGCATTTGTACTGATACCATTCCCATCATGAATAATTGTCTTTCTTGTCCCAGTGTCTTTAACAAAACCACTTCTTCCCATTCTTTGGGTCTAATTCTTCTACAAACTGTAGCAGAATCCGAATGATAAGCTTATTTCTATGGCTCTCTAAACTGGTTTATACAATACAGCTCTTTTATTTCAATCTTGATTATTAGCCAGTGGTACGACGACGATGAATCTATTAAGCTTTTCTGGTATGTGGCTCTCCAAAGTCAAAATGATTAGCAAAGCGTTCTCAGTTTTCAAAATCATTGCCAATCATTTCTGAAGTAAAAATTATTACCAATGCCTTTGCATTGTTAAAGTCTTAAATGTCAATATTTTTCTGCAGTAACAATTATTGTCAGTTCTTTTCTCTTGTCAAAATTGTTACTAACATTTGTCCATTGTTAAAATCTTAATTACCAATGCAACATAGAAATAAGTGCCAATATTTTTCATGCGGCTTTGTTTCTTTTTGACCTCAAACTATTCTATTATTTTTCCCAAATGAATAAATTTTTTCCTATCTGTTCAAATAGAACTTTGTGTTGTACCTTGATAACTGTTTTTGCATAATCTCTGAAACATAGGCATACATTCTTCTACATTTGCACTGATCACTCTGATACCATTCCCATCATTTTAAAAGCTGTAGCAGAATCTGGATGATAAGCTTAGTTCTATGGCCGATTAAATCGATTGTTCAATGGAGCCCTAATTCATTTACATCTGGATTCTTAGCGAGGACTAAAAAGAGGGATCTATTTTGTCCGATATGTTGTCACTGCCATATATTTAACCGTCCTGGGTAAGACGATAAACTACATCCTACAGCAAGGCTTCTGATCAGGAGGTTTTGAGGATCGTGGAACCACCTCTTAATTGTTGATGTTCCCATGTCCACCCTGACTCGGGCTGGTAGCACCTGTAATGGTCCCAGCTATGGGCAAATAGTTAACTATTACCAGCAATAAAATATAAAAAATAATTACCAGCAATGCAATTTTGAGAGGAAAATATTACCAGAAACAGATTTTTGACAAAACAAAATATTACCTACAATAAAAAATTTTGTCGGCATTAAATAACCCATTGAGGTTGATATGCCGTAAAACTAAATAAACCAAACCAATCTAAACCAAAGAATACATATTCTATTCATACGAATCTATCCTAAATATGTTGTCGGCATTAAATAACCCATTGAGGTTGATATGCCGTAAAACTAAATAAACCAAACCAATCTAAACCAAAGAATACATATTCTATTCATACAAATCTATCCTAAATATGTTGTCGGCATTAAATAACCCATTGAGGTTGATATGCCGTAAAACTAAATAAACCAAACCAATCTAAACCAAAGAATACATATTCTATTCATACGAATCTATCCTAAATATGCTGTCGGCATTTAATAACCCATTGATGTTGATATGCCGTAAAACTAAATAAACCAAACCAATCTAAACCAAAGAATACATATTCTATTCATACAAATCTATCCTAAAAATGTTGTCGGCATTAAAGAACACATTGAGGTTGATATGCCGTAAAATAAACCAAACCAAACCAAACCATATATTTAATTTATTATTTCAGTAATTTTGTCGATCACAAAATCCTCTAAATCTGATAACATCTCTATTACAATCTCATCTGGTCCTGCTCTTTTGTTTCTGTTCATCTTTGTAAAATCGAAAAGACGAAAAAAGTTCCCAACTAGCGTCCAGTTGGCAGACAAAAAAGAAAGCGGGCTGTAACTGAATACCGACCTTGTGTACTCGGTATTTACCCGAGCTCCCCACAGAGCGGGATGTGGCAGAAGGCCGGTTTAACGTGGGTTTTATCGATCCCGTAGGTTCGGGCAAAAGTTCCCCGTAGACCCCGTAATAACGGGGTTGGGTTTGTCTACCTCCCCAGACGAGACTCTGCCGTTTCGCATAGACTGGTCTGGCTTCATCTCCGCCCGAAGACAGAGAGTTCGACAAACACTAAGAGCTTAGCGCGCGGTTAAGATCTAACTCCAGACCCTGTGTACTCGCGCGTTCGTGATGTAATGATGGATATTTATTGATCACATATCCACACCAAAGTCAGGAGCCAATCAGAACCTAGAAAATAGGTTTGCCCAAGTATCAGAATGGAACATCCCAACCTGTTATATAAACTACTCACACCAAGTGGCTCAAACACAGGTTATCAGAACAGACTCAACTTGCAATACTCTTTGCTTTTCCAACTAAATTCTACAATCTTGTCTAGTGCCAATCTTATCTCAGATTTAATATTTCAGGTCCTTCCATGTTTTTGTTTTCTGAGCCATAATAAATTTATTGTCTCAGGGTTTGTTTCTTTTTAACTCTGCGTTTGTCCCCTGGGGTGTTCTGTTACCCCAAAACATTTTAAGTACTCCCAATTCCTAGTTACTTCCTCCCACTACACTACTGAGTGTGTGTAGCAGTCATTGCTCAGTTGTTGTGGGAGGTAGACGTCAGGAGACTATCCATTTTTGAGGTGTCTAATGCAGGTTTAAACAGCTTTTCTCTTTTCCATAAACTGGTAGTGAAAGTGAAAGTGATGATACAGTGAAAGTGATAATACAGACATTTCCAGACCAGAAGGTCACAGAAAGATAGTTTGATATTTAATTGATATTTAATTTCTAACTAGTTTTAACACGGTTTTCCTATTTGAATTTTCTGATGAATCTTAATTCTTAAGTTAATGATTGAGTGAAGCTCATAGCGAGTTCCATGACAATAAAATATCCGTAGAGATTCTCTTAGCATTTCGTTAAATATTTGAGCTTAACAACTTTAACAAAATATTGCAATAACAATCATAAATATGATTATCGTTATTTTAAGAAGTAAGAGGGTACAAATTAAAAGATTTGAAATTTACAACTTTTTTCATTTCACTGAAACAGACGTTAAACTCTTCTATCTTCCCTTCTTTCTTTCTTTCACTTTCTCACTGAAACCAAGTAGTGTCTTTTCCTCTCTTTCTACGCGATCAAAACGGAATAATATATTATTTAGGAGGTATTGGCAGGGCGTAACGGTAGTGTGAATTGAAGAAGGTAGGGACAAGCACAATTATAATAAGATATTTTCTTTTTTATTTTGTTTGATTTTTGAGACGAGAAAAATATCTTGATGCTAAATCAGTAAGAAATAAAAAATAATAAAATCTAATAATTTGTTGTATTTTTAGAATCTGATAACTCGTTGGAGGCTTTTTTACTTTTAGATATGTGACCCCCCACCACTAAATCATGACACCCTCTTTACAGATGATACGTGTTCAATTTCAGTAATGAGGATCGGCGTACAAGAAATGATTGAATGTAAAAAAACATGTGAGACGCTTGCTTATTGTATGAATTTCTTTTTTAATGAAACCAACCGGATGTGCGAAATGCGTTTTACAACCGACAAAAGTAAAGGTAATTTGCAAATGTTTTCTTCTTTTATTTTAAAGTTAATTGAATGCACAAATAAAGCCCTAAAATGACATGAAAATCAACAATTCGTGAATTTTTAGGGCTCGAATATTTTTAGTTAATTTCGGCAATCGTACCCGCAAAACAACAGAGCGTACAATGGGCGGATTTTCCCCATGTCACCACGTTTAACTACTCGGCAATGTTTCTTGTTTTAAAAAGTGATGATTAGAATTGTAATATAACCTAAACATGAAATGAAAGTGAATTTATATATATATCTTTATTTTGTTCTTTAGAATTTAAAACAAAAATATTAAACATTATTTATTTATTAGATTGTTTATTTACAAGTATAGTTTTATATTTACAACATAAGGATGAATACAATTGTATTAAGACTAATGCAATGTAATATTTATCATTTAACTATTTATAAAGAAATAAATATATGAAAACAATTTTTTAAGTCATAGATTTATAAACATTTAGTAAGATATTAAAATATGTGAACCAACTATAAGGAAATCCTTATCATTTACCATTTTATAAAGTTTGAATCAATGGCAATTAGCTGATGATTTGCCAACCATTCCAATAAATAATATAATAGTGTAAATAAACAATCTAATGAATAAATAATGTTTATTATTTTTAGATCTTTACATTTATCAAAATTGATAAATAGAAATTGATATTAAACACATATGCCAACGTGGGCGGCAAAAGAAATAAGATAAAGAAAGTAAACGGAACAACAAAAGGATCAACTAAGTTTCCTTATATTAAACAAAAGAAATGTTATGTTAATTCAGTGTTTTGGTCAGTGAGCTAAGAAGAAATAAAAAGGTTTACCGGCGAGAAGTTAAAATTAATTCAGTGTAACTTCAGTCGGGTTTTGCTGGGCTTTTGTGGTATGTCCCTTGGAACCAGATTTCTACAACAATTGACTTCAACCAGCCAACTCACTTTATTCTTTTGGCGCCAACCAGCGTAAGCACGGATAAAGACTCCTACATTGTCAGGTGATCCGAACTCATCAAAGACTTAAAATGTGAACCAACTATAAGGAAATCCTTATTATTTACCATTTTATAAAATTCAAATCGATTAGCAATTTGCCAATGTTTTGTCAATGATTCCAATAAATAATATAATAAATAATGTAAATAAACAATCTAATAAATAAATAGTGTTTATTATTTTTATTGTCAATTCTCAAGAACAAAGAAAATTTATAAGTTCACTTTCATGTGTTTCTTCTTCTTTATGTGTCGCGTCTCCTCGGAACGTAGACGATCACGGCCCTTCACAAGCTCCTGTCCCTTGTAGCTCTTAATAAATTTAGTCTTTTGATTATTTCTCCCGAATTTTGTTCCGCCGTTCATTTACACAAGCTCAATATGCCATGCGCTGTTTTCCTCTGTCTCTCTTGCCATCTGTCATGTGAGTATCAGATTTTCCGAGCCCGCTTTCCTCGTTATGTGCCCTAGAAACATCAACTGTCTCTTCCTGATGTTAAGTATAAGTTTCCTTTTTTCTTTAGATTTTCTCTAAAACTATGTCGATGTTCGGCCCATGATATTCTCAGCATCCTTCTGTAGAACCACATTTCTGTTGCTTCAGGTCTCTTCATCATCTTTGATGAGGTTGTCTAGCACTTACTGCCATACAGAAGGACAGATATCACGTAACAGTTTAGTACACATTTTTTTTTTGTTTTTTGTTTCTAACGAAGTTTTTCTATTTCTTAGTATTTTGCTTAGCTTTTAGAAGGCATCTTTACTTATCCCAATACGCTTTTCATAAGTTTAGGTTTTACAATTCTAATCAACGATTTTTGATTTAATTTAATTAGATTTGATTTGTTTAAGAGCATATCAACTCCTTATGGGTCATTTAATGCCGGAATTTGATTTTCTTGGCAGCTATGAAGTAATAAAAAATATGATATATGTTATTCTGCTTTCGCAATTGAGTACATGGTAGATGATACTCAGTTTTTGTCCATATACATGTTTGTGTGGACATAATTACTAAAGGCAGTGATACACGTGTTTTTGTTGTAGTTTTGTTGAAGTTATATTTTAGAATACAGTTTGATTTCTTTGAAGAAATTGTAGGATATTTTATGAACTAATGTCGTGAAAGAGTTCTTTCATGTTGATTAATGTTTTGTTAGTATTTTTTATCTAAAAATGCATTGCTAGTATTTTTACTATAAAAATCTATTTTTTATACTTTCACAGGGTTTTGTTTTTGTCTGAAGGGTTAACAATTTGCCCATAGCTGGGATCCTAACAGGTGCTACAACCCTGGGTCAAGATGGACCTGGGAACAAATCTGATTAAGAGTTGGTTCCATATCACTTTTTAAAACAATAAACACTACCGAAGAGTGAATCTTCTGCAATGTTTATTAAATTAAAAGCGGTGTCATGGGAAAACCGTCCTTTTGAAATTCTGTTTTTTGTTGTTGGTGTTGTTTTTTGCGGGCCTGAAAGTCGATATTTGTTAAATTTTGAATAAGTTAATTTGTCAGGTTAATATGAAATTAATTTTTTTCTTTTTTTTTTTTTTTTTTTTTTTTTTTTTTTAATGCTCCCTCTTCATCTGAATGATTGCTAGTCATTGGAGAATATGTTACTTGGAGTCCACGTAAGTGAATATATTACAATCCTATTTTTATACTCCTTCTCTTTGTTTTATCATTCACTCTCGCTTTCTCTTCTTTATCGTGTTATTTCTTTCTCTTTCTTGTTTTGATGTCTGTCTCTATTTCATATAAATAAGTTCATAAAAAAACTGCTTTGAAAACAACACTAGAGTCAATTTTTTAATCATTTCGCCCCAAAGAAGGCAATAAATCAACAAGACGCGGATCGGGGGGGATTTACTGTGTGAGAGAATATGAAGAGAAAACAAAGAAACAATTAAGGGGAGAGAATAATAAAAGAACAATTGGTTCATCTGTCGCCCCTGTTCACACTGCTATCCGGCCTTTTAAGCAGAGTAGAGGTGTTGTGAAGGAGAATACTTCCCTACAAGTTTGGACTCGGCCGCCGGATGAAAGGCAAAAAAATACGCCTACATCAAGAGGAGTAGCAATAGCTTTTGCTGAAAAGTCATTCACGGTTAAACATTCTCTTCCCCAGTTTATATTCTCCATTATGTGCCCCTATACCAAAAGGTAATAAACTTGTTGTTAAACCAATTCCGGTTTTCTGCTGTTGCTATAAATCACTCAATTACAACGCTTACAGTCATAATTATTCAGTTTCTGATCTGAAACGTAAACAAAGCAATTTCTAAAGAACTAATGGATTTTATTTTATAATCCGACATATTTCATTACTTAAACATTATTTTTAGTGGATAATCATATTTGAGGCTCCATTTAAACATTATTTTTTTTTTACTCTACCGGCCTGAACATTCGAGAAATCTTATTAAAAATGCCCCCTCTGGCAATATTCAAATCTGCTTACGCCTTTGCGGGAGAAACCGTTTTTTGATCCTACCTGCTTTGACCACTCAACCACGACGACATTCATAATCAAGCCAGCTTCTATCTGCTTTTTAAGCACACTTGTTTATATTTCTTTGTGTTGTGAGGGAGAATATTTCCTTACAAGTTTGGACTCGGCCGTCGGATGAAAATACGGCCACATGAAGAGGAGTAGCAGGAGGAGCAGTAGCCTTTGCTAAAAACAGTCATTCACAGTTAAACATTCTCTTCCCTAGTTTCTATTCTACATTATGTTTCTCTCTACTTGTTGTTAAACTAATTCTGGTTTTCTACTGTTGTTTTTGATAACTCAGTTACAACGAGAGGTTTATTCCTTGTTCTCTGTTTAGGATTCTTAACTGCAGGTAGCCTCTTGCGTGTTAGTGGCATTATCACCTTGCTCGGGTCAAACTAATTAAGAAAAAAAGACAGAAGATAGCGATTGATATTGCATTTAAATTTTTTGAAGATCAAAGTTAACTGGAAAGTAAGAGGATGAAAGAAAATGATGAGACCTAACTGCCAATCTAGTACTGCGCTTAAATTCACATTGTAGGTACAAAAGAGGAAAGTACATCAGAAGTTTACAAAAAGATTTCATCAGACAATAAACTTTGACTCAGTTATGATCTCTGGATTAAAAAAAAATACATTACACCTCAGTAATACTTCATATCACAAACCTTTTCAGGGTTTTTTTCCCTCCGGAAATGTCAGATCTATGGCGATGCAATCTCAGCTTGATCTCGGAGACTCTTCATATATGACCTCTTTCTGCAAATATTCCAAGTTTAACAGTTTTACCAGATTTGGTAAAAATCCTTGATATCTGACTTTGATAAGAAATATATTTACTTAATCAGGCCATGATTCTTGCATTTTTCTTGAGGATTTTAAAATCTTTTCCAAAATCTGTTCAAGAATGCAGACAATATCTTTCTTGTGTGGTGACGGAAAAATAAATAAATAATTTCTATCTTTCTCTCTATCTATCTATCTATCTTTCTTATATGCCAGGACATTTAGATTTGAATTCTGTATTATTATATTGTGTTATATAAATCTTGTATTTTTCAACACTTTGTGCATTTTCTTTTAATCATTACAAAAGGCAAGTATAGAACCAAATCAATTAGACTGATATATGGTGACATTGTTATAAGATAAACAGCTCATCCATAACAATACTTGCAATATGCAAATATTTAGTGAAATAGCTTACAGAATAAAAATGGTAGAATATGCAATCTAAAAATGCAGATGCCATTTATGTTTGTGTCTAATGTCTGTTGGAATATTGTAAGCTTGGCAATATTTAACCTCCATGTACGCCTAAAAACGATATCAAAACAGTGGTCTTGACCTGGCATCTCGACTTCAGTTACTTTCCCATCATCATGATGTAGCTTCTCTCTAACTTTTCTATTCTTTTCTATAAGTATCTTCATTTTAATTGTTGTAATGAATTTTCCTTGATACCTAGATTCTATGAATTTAAGCGCAGTACTAGATTGGCGGCAAGGTCTCATCATTTTACAGTTTAAACCAAATGTAACCGTAAGTTCTATGGTAACAGTTTCTTCTCTAGCACTTATCGTTTTTTGGAACTCTCTTCCGGCTTCTCGCTCTCTGGTTAAATTAAATGCAATGTCAATCGTTATCTTCTGTCTTTTTTTTCTTAATCAATGCTTGAGGACATATGGCCCAGTTCAATACCAGGCCACAGCAGTGGGGAACCAAACTTGGAGAGTTGAGTTAAGGGGAACACCCGGAAGAGGCATGGCACGTGGAAATAAAACAATCTACCCCAGTGGGCGAAATAAAAGGTTCGGTTCGAAATTCCAATTACGTGAAGAAGGCCGGAGCGTACAACAGGTAATTAGGAAGTGAAATAAATTCTACTGAAAAAGATGTGAAAATTTGCAAAGCTAAAGCCTGGTTTGCCTTGAATAAAATGGATGTAATCTGGAAATCTGATCTACCAGACAACATTTCCAGCCACTGTAGAGGCGGTTTTAAATGTATGGTGCCACTACCTTGGACATTAACTAAAACCCAAGAACAGTGTTTCCTAACCTTTTTTCAACCCGCAACCCCCCTTTGGGTACAGTTTGTTTGTTTTTTCAACACTCCGTATATTGAATTCATCTTACATAGCACGGTAACACTTAGGTATTAATGCAAAAATAATTTTAATATTGTTTTCATTTCTATTATAAATGCCAATGATTAAAATGCTAAAAAAATTATTTGATGGCTTATCTTAATGTTTTCAATGCGATGGTTGACTTTGGTGCTTACTGGCTAAGGCTCTTACTCTAGGTTCCATGATGCTTAGAACTAATCGTAGATCTCGTTTTGTTATTTGCAGGCGGTTTCTTTGGTAAGAAGCTGTGTAACTGCATTGAAACCACATTCAGCTATTAAAGAAGTTGGAAAAGCAATAAAGAAAAGTTTGATAGCTTCCTAGAGCTTTAGATACCTTTCAAAAATGCCTTTTGTAGACAATACTGAATAATTTTCAAAAATTAAAACATAAATGTACAAATGCCTCTTTCCTAACAGGTTCACCGTGCCACAAATGAAATAAAAACTCCCAGTGCCTCCTTTCAACATAACATAGCCCTACAGTCTAAGCTTATTAGAGCCTAACACTCGGATGCCTCATATCTATACTTAACATCTCTTGGAGACAAACATGCAACTGAATCATAGCTCTATGGACCCATCCTTGATATTTCTACAATCTTACAATTATTGCGGAATGCACTTTGCAGGACATTGCTAGAGGGCATAACAAGAACTTGCAAGTGATCTACTTCTCTGGACACCTAGGCGTGGAGTAAGATGAGTTGATCACCCAGCAACCACCTACGTTGAACAACTATGTTAGTGGAGCACAAGATGTCACCCTAATGACCTTCCATGATCGTTCATACAATAGACTCGTGAATGTCAGAGCTATCTCAACCGAATAAAATAATAAAATGGTAAATAATAAATCTTTATTAAAATTATATATATATATATATATATATATATATATATAGCTGGCCACTCGTATTCGAGGATACCTGTCTACTAGGGCGACTAGTCAATTCTTATTGCAGATGCTTGCTCAGGCGCATTTGTGTTATGAAAGGTAAATAGTAAACATCGCATTGTACTTGGTTCATATATTTTTATAATCTTGTAAATAAATATTACAGAGGATGTCAAATGTGTATACAGTAAGAGCCAGGGTCAAGGGAATAACTGCCTTTTGAGACACTGACTTTTTTTTGGGGGGGGGCGAGTTGGAAAGTTAAACATTACTAGAGGCTTTTTTATTGATATTTGACCCACAGTATTCATGAAATTTACAAATAATGTTTCCTTTCAGGTGTGTATAAATATGTTGAAAGATTTAAAGAATGTCAGGCTCGATGTGATGCCCTACCTTTCTGCTTAAAAATTGATTATGGTACGAATACCTGGGAAAATTGTCAGCTGATTTTAAAGACTAGTGAATTCCCAGTCTGGGGAGAGGAAAGTAAGTTTGTTTTTTTTGTTTTTTATGTTATTCACTTGTGCTAATGTCGCCGTACAGTTTTTAGCCACCCTTCATTGCAACAATCTTGGCTTGTGTAATAACATCTCTTCTTTTTTTCAGACAATACCGTGTTAGTATCAAGCTACTCTCATTTATGAACAATAGTTGACTTATATTTTGCAATGAAAGTTCGTGGAAGTAAGGAAATTGGTGAATTTCAACAAGGGCAAATAATAGGATGACATCAGTGTGGCAAGTCAAATAGAGAAATCGCTAGGTTTTTCCAGGTGAACCATAAAACGGATAATAATATTGTCAAGAAATTTCATGAAGAAGGCCATTGTCATGTGGAACAAGGTTCAGGAAGACCAAGCATCGTGTCTGAGTGAACGAAAAGGGGACTGAAGTGGGAAGTCATCAGAAACCGTTGTCGGAGCGCCAGCAGAATGGAAATGTCGTCATATGCGGTGAGAAAGATTCTGAAAGAGCTAGGCTATCAAAGAAATTTTGCAAGGAAGAAGTCCTTGATTTCAGAGGTTAACAGGAATAGGCGTATGGACTGGGCGAGAAAATTTGAGAGCAAAGATTATGAATTTTGGCAGTCTGTAATTTAATCAGATGAAAGTAAATTCTGCCAATATTCGAATTCGGGAGAGGTTTATATTTGGAGAAATCAGAATGAGACTTGGAACACTGAATGTCTGCAGGCGACCGTCAAACATGGAAGGATTGTAATTATGCTGTGGGACACTGTCTGGTTTGGAGGGAAATATGAGCTGATTCTTGTTGACGAGCGGTTGAATGGCCCAAAATACTGTCAAATATTAGAGAAAGGACTACTCCCAGTATTTCAAACCAATCAGATTGACAAGAATGTCTACCTTTTTCAAGAAGATGGAGCACCATGTCATACGAGCAAAATAGCAATGGCCTGGAAGGAATCGCAAAGAATCAAGTCACTGCCATGGGTAGCCCAAAATCCTGACATGAATCCAATAGAGCACGTTTGGGAGCACTTCCACCGAAAACTTTGAGTGCGTGCAACCAAAATCACATCAGTGGCAACCCTTAAAGAAACATTGCTAAAGGAGTGACAAAATAAGGATCAGCCGATTGTTGATAACTTGATCAAATTTATGATAAATCGAATACAAGCACTGAAACTAGAAAATGGAGGACTTACTCTATACTAGTTCCAAATATTGTTTATTTATGTTGAGTTGGGATTACGTAATTAAATTTTGAAATTGGATGTAGTTTATTTCTCCTGGCTAAAAACTTTTTTTAGGCCACTGTATCTAAAACTTTGTTATATTGTTCACCTATCAACTTATTCAATTAAACGATTGAAACAGATTATTTCCATTGTGTAGATTCATGTCCATATAATTGTTATCCCTTTAAATGTTATTTTAGTGGATGCCCATATTTGAGTAGACGTCCCGTTTATTTTAAACAGTATTTTATTTTGTCTACGAGCCTGAGCAACATTCAAGATTTTTATTAAAGAAAACATGTCTCCACTTTCGCAGAAGAAACCGTCATTAGATCCGACATGCTTTAACCAACTCGTCCATGAAGAACGTCATGGTCAAACAAGGTTCTATCTAAAGACAGTTTCTCCGGCAAAGGGAGATGCAGGTTCAAATCCTGTCCGGGAGTGGGTGGCATTTTTTATAATAAGATTTCTCGAATGTTCAAATCGGTAGAAAATAAAATAAAATACTGTTTAACATAAACGGACAGGTGTAAGGTAAATCATCTGGAGAGGGGCATGTATCCGACCATAGCTCTATTAAAACTCATTTAAACACAGACAACAAAACCTGCCAGACTCGATCCCAGAAATACTAGTAGAAAATATAAGCATAATAACTTCATCCACATGAAAAAAAGATTAAAAATAATGGAAGCCTTAACCCTTTAAGCCCTGCGTTTCTGAACAATTTTAACCCATCTCCCTGAATTCCTGGGTCAAAATTCGCAAACATTTGGTATGTAATGTTTCACGGTAGATATAAAAAATAGTTACAAAAAAATCTAAGCATTATACTTAGCAGGGAGAGTGTATGATTGCATGCCTTTATTGCCAGAATGTTTTCTTTGTGTCTACCCAAATAAGTCAACCAATAGCAAATATATATGTTTTTTTGTTTTTTTTTTCTTTTTAGTTTTTCCAAAAGGCTTAAAGATGACAACCGAAGCTCTTCGGGAAGGAGACACGAGTAAGGAGGATATTGGTTCTATATTTCTTTTTAATTGCGTTTTAAAATTTATTCTATGAAATCTAAACCATAAAATATTGCACATTTTAATATTTATATGTAAGGTAGGGCGGAGCACGTTGATGCAATTCTTTCCTAATAAACACTAAACAACAACAACGCCCCCGCCTCCGCAACGATTGAGTTGAAACTTCTCCTGTATGGTGGCTCCTTGAAATTTTCCTTGACTGTACCTTGAAATGAACAGAATGCGGAAATTTCATAATATTATATCTTTATGAGAAAATGTCAAATACATCACGCTATTTGCGATCGCCAGACAAACTCTGACGATCGCAAATAGCGTGAAACCCAGGGTCACAAACTCGCATCAATCCAACAATATATATATATATATATATATATATATATATATATATATATATATATATAGGGCTCTCCCGTCGTTTTTCAACGCATGAGGGTTAAGTAACTCAGTTCCTAGGAACAGACAGCCAAACAACCTGCACATATGATTTGATTATAAAAATGAAGGCTTTGTTCAGAACCAACCACACTTTTTTCACAAATTTGGTTTAAACTTCCTCGATTCGCAGAGTTTTAATTTGTAAACCGGAACTCTTAAATACGCATGTGCTGGTACCACTTGCAAACGAATAGTCGCTACCATTTCTGAAATATGCATTATGCATCAACGTACCACGTGCATCAATGTACCCTGCCTTAATGGATGTTTTATTTATTAATCCGGCAGATTTTATCATTTATAAGTTATTTTTAGTGGATGCCCATATTTGAGTAGACGTTTTTTTAACTAATGTTCACACAATACAAGGCCCAACAGCTACTTAAGGTAGAGAGTTACTGTGTGGTGTTGTATGAACATAAGAAAAGGCACGAAGTGAAGTCCTATGCAGGAAAGATAATGACTAACTCTAGACTTAAAGAGGTTAAGATTTAATTCGTGAATAACATTACAGATTTCAGTGGGAGACGTTAGAAGTACCATGTGGTAGTAGACTGTTACGAGAAACAAAAATAGTAATAAAAATTAATTATAAATATTCACGAGAATAAAAAACAGTCACAGGATCTAATGGGACCCGCATGTGATATCGTTAAGTGTGAAAGTCAATCTTCATCTTTTTGCTCCTTGAATTTACAGTAACAAGATGCATATTTCAATAGCATTTTTACCTTTGCAATTTACCCCTGATGACGATCTTGGAAAATATCGAAAGTACTAAATTAAAAATAAGTAAACACAATATGTATATATTATTCAATGAAGAATGTTTCTTTGTTAAATTTTTGTTACAGTAGTTATTTTTTGTTCATTTATGTTTTCGTATGTGTCGGTATCGTTGAGTAGGGAGTTAATTTTTTTCTATGTATTCTTGTTTATGGTCACAATCCCACCTCCCTTGTCAGAAGGACTAATATGGATTTCTTTATTTCTCACTAGGTTCTTTAGTGCATTTAGGTATCTCTGTAGTAAAAAGTTTCATTCAAGTCATAATCACTGCTACTATAGAAACCAACAACGAAAATACATTACCACAGAACACCCATAACAGATATCCTAATATGCCTATCAACTCAGGAACAGACAGCACCCCCACCCTTCCATAAACTGGCGAAAACCATAACAAAAATTATAACCCCTCTCCATGGAATAATCAGTCCATCTCATATAATGAACTCAGGCAGCCTAGTTGAAAAATGAACAAGACTGACAACGTTGCAGTTGAAAATGCCTAAACCTCCTAAAAATGCATCTAACACAATCAAAGATAAAGTTCTCTCTACCAGTATCTGTTTCATCAATCAATGCTAATTCATATTTAATAATGATTTTTACAAACAAAAATTTGGATTACGAATGGGATCACCACTCAGTGCAATAATGTCATCTATCTTAGAATTTCTTTCCAAAATATTTTACCCAAACAATCAACATACTTCCGTTTTATTGATGATGCTCTACTTATATACCCTTGTGATATTGATTTACCTGACAACTAAACAAAGTCGTACGAACAATAGAATTTACATACAAAATGGAAGAACATAATTCCTTACCTTTCCTAGATATCAAGCTACACCGCGTTAACATGGGTACCTCTACGAAATCGCTAAAAAAAAGAGCATAGCTTGATGAAATGATGCCAAACTTGACGAAAACAAAATTTTATCGTCTCAAAATGTTAATGTTATTATAAAGAGGAAAGACCAAATTTTTTTTAATTATTTTTTAAATTTTTTCTTTCTTTTTAGAACATTCTAAATTTTGATTAGAAAAAACCTTGTGTCTCTTTGTATCAGCGGAACTAGTAAATAACATTTATTATTTTTTAGCACATTTTTTTTTTTGGTATGACACACATTAATTTGGAAAATCTTGCAAAAATATAAATAATTGTCGGATGTTAATGAAATTTTCAGGAACTATTCACAGATAATCGAAATTATTATAAGTAAGTTTTTTTTTTTATTAAAGTCATGGCAGAAATATTTTTTATATTTATTAACACCCCCATAACTAATTTTATGAAAACGCTAGAAATTCGATCGAGTCTAGGTCAATGATTACAATAGTTAAAAGCACAAGGTTTTGAGGAATGCAAATCATTTTTTTTTTTGTTTTTAATTGGAATACCTACCTGAAAATCAGCTCTGAATTGTAACATACAAAACTCAATAAATCAAATTATTTAATTTCAAATGCTTTTATTTGCTTTTAGTTCTTTTTTATGAATATGGACTGACTATATTTTCCGAAAGCAAAAAAATTTTTCGATGAAAAATGAATTTTTAATACAATTATTTGTTATTTCTTTAATTATAAGAGATTTTTACATTTAAGTTGTTAAAAACAATTTAAAACTCTGTGTCCATTGGAAATCAACAAACAAAAAATACCTCATAAATTTCTATTCTCATCATAACAACAAAATAAAATCTGGCATAATTATTGGATTCTACTTTAGAACACTTAGAATATGCCGCTCGCGTTATTTACACAAAGAGGAGAAATAATATTAAAATTTTTCTTTCTTACCAATTCCATGTTCTTGTGCCAGACACAAAACGTAGTTGGTAGAAACAGCAACTCTCAAAAATAGGCGCAACTTAAAAAACAAGACGACGACTGCGTAAAATTTTAAACGGGGAAAAATATAATTCACTAAAAATGTTGGTAAGACCAACAGATTCGTATACAAAATATATCCATTCAAAAATACAAAAAATAAGGGAAAACTCGGAGTAAGATGATTCACAATATGGCACAAGGCACAATCTTTTAAAAGACACCAAACTCTGTTATAACGGCTCTGTAAAGGACCTCTCAGCTCGAAAGCGATTTGACGTAGACAAATTCTTGAAGGTTCTGGGGTGTGAAATTTGTCGTACGAATCTTCCTTGGATCTGTCACGTCAGATTTATAACCTTTCACTGGACTGTCCTTTTATGCGGTGTCTTGTGAAAACTGCCCCGGATGAAGTTGACACTCTGCCGTTTTCTTTTCAACTCTCTTCCCTCCTGCTAATTGCTGATGGCAGTCTTTTTTATTCTTAGTGGGGTCAATTAATTCGGATCCAGCCAAAATTTTTAGGTGCTAGAAAAACTTGATTCCCATTGGTCAATATATGTAAAATACCCTTCCGATTATTCAAAAAAAAGTAGATTCACAAGATCTTGCCGCTTCACCACTTGAGCCTAAAATAAGCATAGAAATGCAGAAAATTTAACATTTTTTTTACAAAATAAAATTTTTATAATACATTGAAAACACTTTCAAACAGTGCCCTAATTATTTTAGATTCAATGCAAAACAAAAGGCCCATAAAATACTCCAAAAAGAAAAACGGATCCTTCTGACAAACCCATTAAACCAAAAAATATATATTGTCCTACCAACTAACTCTGTCACTGCTACAATTGAAAGTAACTTATATAAAATCAACATAAAAGTTGTTACTACTACATCTAAAACAACAGAAAAAAAACTTAGTCAATACTAAACAAAACAATAAGCTAAAACTAGAAGGAGGTATTTACTCAATTACCTGTAATAATTGTCTCAAAAATACATAGAAGAAACCTCAAAGAATCTAAATAAAAGATTATATGAACACAAAAGTGGCATTTTACAAAATAATGCGTCAAATGTGTTGGTTGCCCACTGTAACAAGACTGACCACAATTTTGACATAAAGATGCTACTCTGACCAAGGAGAAAATAATTCACTACGACGTAAATATCTAGAAAGTGCCTTCACCTACAGTAAATTTGCACCCTGGCTCTTACAACATTTCACAATTTCTGGCAGTTCTATTATAACCGTGTGGGACACCGACTAACAAAAGCGATGGAAAGAAAAGGAAAAAGAATTTAAATGAATTCGGCTAGATATAAAAAAAATTAAAAATTCTAAAATCCCCAGACATTTTTTTTATCCGCACATTTCACCCCCCTCGTGAATTTTATCAAGATAAATATAGAAATTTTATTTTGTAACTTGCATTCATAAAGAGAATTTGCTCAAAGTACAAGTTACAAAAATCTCTACGCCTGCCTTGATAAAGTATCTCAATGAACGAAACGCATTGGTAAAGAAATGTTTTCCGTTTCTCTTTTATTTCCAGTTTCTTTGCAGATATATTTTATTTATATCTGAATTTTTAAAATATTCAATCCGACTTCTTTAAAACAGGCCACAGACGGACCACAGAAAATGTCAGTTGACATAAATCAACCCTAAAAAAAACTTGTATAAACATAGTCTTGCCAGCTCATTACACACACACGCGCGCGCGCGCGCAGGCACACACACATATACATATTCAAACATATATTGTTAAATATAACAGACAACGAATGTCTATTATGTTTGATCATGAAACTAAAGCCACTATACTAAGCTTAGAACTTAATAAACATTCATTGTCTGTTATATTTAACAATATATGTTTGAATAATGATCTGCTATCCCAAT